GCGCTGCTGTGCACGGGCGCTGCGCGCGGACGCGGGGGGGGGTGGGTGGGGGGGAAGGGCGCGAACAGAGCGGGGTCGCGATGGAGTGGGGTCGGGTGGGATGAGGGGTGGCGGTAGGGGCGGGAGGGGGAGCGGCGGGGGGGCTAAAACTGCGCGATGCAGGCGCGCCGTAAAGTTCGCGTAGGATGAATGCATTAAAGCATATGGCGATCCACATCAAAATAGCAACGACGCCTTAACAGTCGCGGCAAACGAAGAAGAGCAGCGCTGGCTGTGCGTTGGACAAGGTAAGGAGGTATATTGCACTGGTACACAAGAGTTGTGATTAGTTGCAGGAGCCCGTGTAGAGCAAAGCCTGATGGGGGGAGCGGGCATTGGATATATTGGGCAAGAAATGTGCACGTGGTCTGCGCATGCGGATTGGGCGTTGAGTTGCGCTGTGCTACCGCGGTGACATTTGCGTCGTGGACGCCGCCATGGCGGCCGCGTGTGTTACGAAATCTACGCGTCGAACCCTGAAGAGACGCCCGCGTCGAACTCGGTCTTGCCGCCCTTTGCACCACCGCTACTTGTGGATAGCGTCTGGCTGGCGTTTGAATATGCCAGGGTGGGGTGGGATGAGCTGCGGGGCAGGTTTGCGGACCACGCTAATGCTACGAATCGTACGGCGCAGGATAGTTGCAGAGATGCGGTTGACCTTGATCACAGCATGTGTAGGAGTAGGGGTTGGAAAGGGCGCGGTAAGGCACGTTAGTGCAGAGTAGATTTTCAACGCTCTAAATATGCATAAAACGAAGCCAGCGTAGTGTCTAAATAACATTGGATGTAATAGAACCTAGTGCCTCCAGCGAAGATGGAGGGCAGGATCCCGTTGAGTACGACACGGGCTGGGGTAGCGCGGCGTGGAAAGCATGCGCACAATTTGTTATAAGATCTCTCCTGGTGAGCTGCTCGTTGGCGGAAGGGGAGGAGCAGGGAACAGGAAAATCGACAAAGGTTACTTCCTGAAAAGTTGTTAACCGCGCGCCGCCGACTAGCGTGGAAAAGTGTCACGGGAGAAAAGGTATGACAGGCAACCACGACATCAAATGACGAACTGGATGTGACCGTCTGGATGGCACGTGCCACGGCGGAAGCCCCATGGAGAAAACCAACTGTGCATTTTTGACTGGGCGCCAACATGAACCAAGGAAACCTCAGAAAGGCAACTCGTGACACGTGTCACCGAGGAAACCGCTAGAGGAAAGCCAACGGTGCATTTTTGATTCTGGACGCCGCCATGATCCAAAGAAGCCTCAGAAAAGCAACGGGCGATACGTGTCACCGCGGAAACCGCTTGGAGAAAACCAAACGTAATCGTTTGATTCTCGGCGCCAACATGAGCCTGGGAATCTTCAGAAGAAAAGCAGGTGACGCGTGTCACCACGGAAACCGCTTGAGGAAAACCAATGGTACATTTTTGAATCTGGACGCCATCATGGGCCAAGGGCGCCTCAGAAGAGCAGCGGGCGACAAGCCCCCGCGGGGGAGGAGGGGGGAGGCAAAGAAGGGGGCGTGGGGAACATGAAGATATACCGTTGCCGGGTCAAAACTGACACAAGATCGGGGAGAAGGCGACAACCCAAAAATCTGCAAGGATGCCCAAGGGGCCGTGCAACGCCATTACGCGGCAAGAAACGCGCGGGGATGCGCCCGCCCAAACGAGAACATGGGCAAGGATACGGAAGGATCCCCAAGGGTACCCTTGCCTCCCCCATCCCTGCGACGCCGCCGTGCAACGGGCTTCAACCCCAAACGGCAAGGATGAATGTGCCGCCAAGGGTACCCTTGGACGGCCGAAGCAGCAGCCAAGGATGCCGGGAAAGGATGATGGCTTGACGTCTTATGGCTTGGGGCGCCTTAACCGCGTTAGTGGGCCAAATTTCCTGGTGGCACCACCTTTGATTGCACGGTGGGCGACCGCGTCCGTCGCGGTCGCGTTTCATGTTGTCTGCGGGCGGGTCCCGCCACTTGCAATTCAGAACCTGCGGCGCAGATTCCGTGACATTGCGGGTGGGTAGGATTCGTCCACCCTTGAGTCGCCTTTCACAGTTCTTGTCCTGCTCCACGACCCGCGCACCAGTGGTGGCGATGCATGCGGCCTGTAGCTGGGAGCGCGGCGAGGGCCGACAACGCAAAACAGAAGCCGACCCCGAACTGGCTACGCATGCTGGGCGTGTGTATCATTATCGCAGTGTCGCACGGGTCGAACATTGGAATGCCCCTGCACCCGTCCACTCAGCCTACCCCCCTATGACCCGCGCAATTACAAAAAATCAAGTAAAATTTTACTTGGCGTTTCAATTCTTGGGTAAATCAATTTCGTAGTGATGCAGCGGTATAAACCGCGAACTGGGGGTCGGGCACCTGTCGAGCGGACTCGGTCACTGTGAGCCAGCTGCGCGGGGCACCACTGCCAAGGAGGCGAGCCAAAGTCCGAGCGTCGGACCCACGCCACGTCGCGGCGAGTCCTCCAGGATGAAGGCCACGGCCGAGATGCCTCCCGCAAGCGTGACGACGGCCCGCCTGCCAGCCCGCGCCGCCAACGCGACGCCTGTGCTCGGCCCCGCCTGCACGACCGAGCCGAAGGGCAGCGAGCCGATGTCCTCCGCGAAGTCCCAAGCCCAGCCGGGCGGCGCCTCGCCGTTCGCCCCAAGCGGGGGGCCGCCGTCCTTTTCCACAGCCATGGCCCGGAGGAAATCCGACGGCGGGCGGGGCACCTGCGGCCATCGGCACGCCAGCCGCGGGGCCGCCAGTGCGGCGGGCGGCAGCGCGGCGAGGGCGACGGGCCCCACGGCGGCCAGCGCAGCACAAGAGGCAGCAGGAGCAGCGGCAGCCCCAACCAGCGGCCCGCCTGCAGCAGTTGGGGGCCCCGCACCAGGCAGCAACCCGACGCTCATGGGGGTGTGCGTGTCGCCAGGCGGAACGGGCACCCCAGGGTGGCGGCGGGCGTACTCGGCGTCCGCCTCGGTAGTGGCGGCGGCGAGCCACGCGGCCTCGCGGGCGGCCGATGGGGTGGCGCCGGCCGCGATCCCAAGCGGAGGAGGCCAGCGCGCCGCCGAGAAACGCACCGTTGCCACGTCGGGTCCTGCCGCCAACAGCCTCTCGTCGTGGACCATGCCACCGGGCGTCACGATGATGACATCACCCGTGAGTGCCAGTTGGCCCACTACGTTTGGCGGAAGAGCGGCGCGCCGCCCACGTTGTACAGCACCCACGCCCACGCCCCCGCCAACGCCAGCCGCTGCCAGAGCCAGGCGCGCGTGCGGCCCGCTCGGCGCCTCCGCCCTCCGCCGAGAAGCGCAGCGGGCCCCACACCCGCAGCACCCCGATGGCGGCCAGCGCGCCGAAGGAGGCCCTGGCCACGCCCGCCGCAAGGCAGGCCAAGGTGACCGCGCCTGCTGTCGCGCCCACGGTAACCCCAGGGCACGGCGGGCAGGCAGGGCACGTGGGGCTGGGCGGCACGACGACGGCGGGGCAGCGAGCAAACCCAAGCCTGCAGCGCGGGAGCGCCCCCGCGATCCAGCGTCCTGAGCAAGCTCTAGGGGAGGCCCAACCAAGCCATACAAACTCGAGGGCCGAAGGCTACGGAAAGCAAGCTTCGGCCTCACGGGCCCCCTTCTGAAGGCATTCTACCTCAAAAGAAAAGACGGTCATCATCATCAGCAGCAGCAGCATCATCATCATAAGCATCATCATGGTCAGCATCACTGTCATCATTACCAGCAGCATCAGCATGATCGCCATCGCAATCGTCACCGCCACCGCCATCGTCTTCATCATTAGCAGCAGCATTATCATCATCAACATCATCGTGATCCCCATCACCACCCTTATCTTGATCACAGCATCACCATCGGCGTCATCATCAACCTCCGCCTGTTCGGCCTCATCCTCATCATCGTTCCAATCCGCATCATCGTTATCGTCCTCAACCTCGATCATCAGCATCCTGATCCGCATCACCTGTCCATCATCCTCATCATCTTTCCAATCCGCATCATCGTTATCGTCATCATCATCATCATCATCCCGATCATCAGCATCGTCGTCGTCATCATTCTTGTCATCATCATCATCATCATCATCATCATCATCATCATCATCATCATCATCATCAACACATCGCATCATCAACAGCGTAAGCAATACCGTCGTACTCAGCATGCGCATCATCATCATCATCAGCAGCAGCAACAGGTGTGTCATCATCAGCATCATCAGTATCAGCATCAGCATCATCACTAGCATCCTCATCGCCAACATCATCATCATCATCATCATCAGCATCATCATGGTCGTCCACAGCGTAAGCATCAGTATCAGCATCAGCATCACCACCAGCAGCATCATAAGCATCAGCCAACGCATCAACATCAACATCAGCATGATCGTGATTATCAGCAGCATCACCATCATCAGCATGTTCATCATCATCATCATCATCATCATCATCAGTATCCTCATCCTCATCCTCACCTTCATCCTCATCATCATCATCCTCATCTTCATCTTCATCATCGTCATCCTCATCCTCATCGCCATCAGCTTCAGCATTGTCATCAACGCCCAGGCGCTCGTTCCTCGCAATGGGCAGCCAGCCATGTCAGTCTCTCGATTCTACGCTCCCTGCCTAGCGCAAGAGCGACCCCAAAAACAAAAACGACCTCTGGTGAGCAACCGTAGGAGGTACCAAACCCAATTTCGCATGCCGCTGCGATCGCACCGCACTTAGCGATCTGGGGAACCCAGTGGGGCCCACACCAGGGGTCACCTCTGGCGAAGGGCCACTCTCACGCGTGACCGACCCAGCGAGCTCCGACCCCGACGTGTGCCTGGCTCGAGTGTCCCCCAGCTTTCCGAGAAGCCCCTCCGCCTTCTGAGAAGGCCTTCTCCTTCTCACTGCCCACCCTCGCTCTCCACCGAATATTACCAAAAGCACGGGGGGCCACCGTCCCCACCGTCCCACGCGAGGCCCACGCCCGTCAGGGTCATCACCGCAGTGACGAGCGCCTGCGCGGTGGCACCGCGTCGTACTCAAAGGCACGGCGGTCGCTCGCTCCATGGACTGCCACCCAACGCGTGCCCTCCACATCCCTCCCTTTTCACCTCTTCCCCCTTTTCCTCTCCCTCTCCCCGCTGCCGCTCCGACTTCCCATGCTACCTGTCCTTCCCACGTAGCACTCTCCGTCCATCCCGTCCCTCCTTCCCCCTCCCTTCCACTCCACTCCTTCCCTTCCACCTCCCACCTGCCCTTCCTACCTAAATATCTGTTTTCTCTGATTGCGCAAGGCGGCCGCATGGGTGCGTAGCTTCCAAGAAACCGAGTCCAACATCGAAACAGACAACGAACAAACCTGCGCGCAACAACCGCGACAACTTCCCGCGCAGCGCCGACTCGACGCATCCCGTACGACACAGCACCGCCGCAACCCCGCTCGCTGGCCATTGTCAAATGCACAATGCGCACGCGCGCGCACACGCACACGCACTGGCTTTTCCGTCGCAGCGCGGCAGAGGCGATCCGCCCGCGCGCTCGAGAGATACGAATTCAGCGGCAGCACGGGAGGAAACGGGCGGCCGCAGAAAGCACGGGAGGGAGAGGGGGACACTCAACCCGCGGACGAACACACACGCACACTTTTTCCCTCGCCGCTGCAACGAAACCACCGCACTGCAAATCTGCCCACGGCCCGCCCGAGCCAGAGATCCGCTGCGCGATCAGCCGCTGTGCTCGCGTGGCGCGGATGCCCTAAGCACCCCCCACCGTGCCCGCCGAGCAAGACGTATCGTACGCCATACAGCCATGGCATTGCCAGCAGGAACGAAGCCCCTTGTTGGCGCCGACAGAGCCTGGGTGCACGAGGAGGTCTAGAGAAACAGCCACGAAATGTCCTAAGGAACAGCGAGCACCTTCCGAACCCAAACCAATCCTTATTCCAGCGTCTTGACTGTAACCACCGCGGGCGGACGCAAATAGGAATGAGGGCCCTCCCCCCTCACGCACTCCGTGAAATCTTCCCTGATGTCCGACGTTGCAATGGAGAGTCCAACGTCGCGGAAATACTTACGACAAGAGCCCTAGACCCCATTGTTCTGCGCCATTCCCCGACCCAAACATGTGTGTGAGGGCACCCAAGGCTCGAAGACGGGCGAAACCGCCCTGTGTGAAAAAATTGCAACGCCAAGCTCTCAGGGTCCGAATAGAGTAGGGGAACGGAGAATGCCATAAATATAACAACTCGGAGGTCCGCGCGGATTTCTCGGATCCTTGCTGGCGCCCCCTGGCGGCGCCTCCGGCGCCGCCCCTGGTGCGCTCCGCGCGCCAGGGAGGGGGGTCCAGCGCCAATCCGAGAAATCCGCGCGGACCTCCGAGTTTTATGTTTATGTCATCCTTCGGTCCCCTACAAATGGAGAGTCCGATGGTGGACGTCTTCTTATTCGGCGTTTCGACATTGCGCGGAAGGGGGGGGGTGCGAGGAAGGGGGGTCTGGCTCCGGACTGATCCGCGCGACTATTTGGAACAATGTTCCCATGGGGAATCCGAGGGGGAGGCGAGGCCCCCGTGCTTACTCCACCTGCTTGGAACAGGAACAAAAACATAGCCAAGATCTTCTCCGTGTGGGTGGGGGAGGGGGCGCGAGGGCCCGCGCCCATCGGCAGAACAACGAACAAGAAAACGATCACTGGGGACACCAAAGGATACCCGATACCGCTACTCCCGGGACCTCTCCTGGGGTGCGTTCTGACCAGAATTTCGAAGCCAATCCAGCGGTGGCCTCCCAAGAGACCCAAAAAGGGGAAAACGGCCGAAGGGTAGCGGTATGGGTACCTTGTCCAGGGGGGCGTCCACGAGGGGGGGCGCGAATCATGGCCAGGGGCATGTGCGCGGCCCAGGGGAGGGGGCAGGGACGTATTGAAATAAGAAGAGGCGCCATGACATCTAGGGAGATATCATGGCCCACGCCATGATATCTCCCTCTTCGCCGTCACCGAACAAAGGAAAGCCCGCTGCAAGCACCGACGGTGCGAGGAGGAGGAGGAGGAGGAGGAGGAGGAGGAAGAGGAGGTGGAGGAGGGGAAGGTGGAGGAGGAGGAGGACGAGGAGCAGGGGGAGGGGGAGGAGGAGGAAGAGGGGGAGGGGGGAGAAGGAGGACGAGGAGGAGGAGGAGGAGGAGGAGGAAGGAGGAGGAGGAGGAGGAGGGGGAGGGGGACGGCTCGCCCTCCATCCCTCCCCCTCTCGGAAGCTGGGCGAAGGCTGGCAAATCCGCGGCTGTTAACATTTTATTGGAAGAAAGAAACAAACTCCCGGAATACAAAATCAGTGCGCTAACTAGTGAACGGGCTGCTTCCTGGAAAAAAAAGTTTCCCGGAGCTCCGTTTTAGCAGCCACGGGTTTGCAAGCCTTCGCCTGGCTTCTGACCCTCCCAGGCGGGGTCGGTCAGCATGGAATCGGAAACATCGGATCGACTCGGACTGCGCGTGGGCTCGGGCCAGTGCCGATACCACTAATTACACGAAACAGGGAGTAGGAGGGCGGATCAAGTAGATTGGGTCCAGGCCCTCCCAGAGAGCAACAACACACAGCAACATCATATCGATTCTTGAAATAGAGAAACGCTTGAAGAGAATTGGGATCAACCCAAACATACCGACATCCAACGACCGGCGTGTACCGATATCCGTTCCTCGTTCCCGCCTTTTGGGGCCTCCTGGGAGGCCCTCGTCGCCACGGCTGGGTGCGCATCGAAATTCTTGTCGGAAGGCACCGTGGGAGAAGTCTGGGGAGTAGCGTTCTCGGTACCTTGTTGTTTCCCCACATCGGCACAGAGTCAGAGTCGATTCGAATCGGCCGCGCAAGGGTACACACCAGCGCCGTGAAGAATAAGGCCGCATCGCATCGCCAGCAAATTGGGGTCGAATCGGATCAGGCAAACGGGAGTCGAATTCGAATCGGATCGATAGGATCAACGTGGTCACTGCCCAAGCCCCGAAACTCGGGCCTCCACGACACCGCGGGCCCCCCCACTGGGGAAACCAAATGTTATCAATACCGTACTCCACGGACCTCTCACGAGTTGCGTCGTGACCAGAACTTCGAGGCGAATCCAGCGGCGGCGACGAGGGCCTCCCGAGAGGCCCACAGAGGCGATCACCAGGCGAAGGTAGCGGTATCGGCGGTGCCTTTGCCTCCTTTGACGTGGGCCCCCCGCAGCCGGGCCCCACCGCTCCACCCCCCCCAGCCCCGACGAGGCCGCGCAGTCCCCTTTGGGCCGGCCGCACTGGGTCCCAAACCCTCCTGCAGTGAGGAGGAGGAGATGATCAAAACAACGACGTGTGCTCGCCAGAAACAGCCAGCAAGTGTGTGACTTGAGATTGGTTCGCGTGAACGGAAGGGAAGGCCCTCGCCTGCCCCGGCTGAAAGATCGGAAGAGTCACCCACACAGTGAACACCCACACCAGCGAATCCAATTAGAAAAAGCTCCCAGGAGAGGACTGGAGGCAGACAAGGATACTCACCAAACGCGTAAGACTGTCTAGTAAACACCAGATGGGGAGGTCGGGTGGACAGCCAAATCCTCCTGCACTGGCGCAATCGGAATTGTGCCAGGCTTCTCCCGTAGTGGCGAAGCGCAACCTCCAGGACTGGTGAAATGACTCGTTTGGACGGCCCCTTCCTCCTCTTCGAAATCCCTCCAAAACACCCTCGCTCTTTGAATCCGCGCTACGTACCACACATGCGACACTGTGCCTATGGATATGGTACTTTCCTGCACCCTGTTGAAGATGCCTCGCCGTCTCCTGGAAGAAACGAGTCTTTACACATGTTGTATTACAGCGGTGATGTCCCGAGCGATGGCTTCCTCTAATCGGTAGAGGTGCATCCTAATTCGCTTGCCAGCGTTCCAACAAACGCTGCTAAGGTGTCAAACAAGGCATGTTAAGCGGGGCGTGTTCTGAGGTGACGTCGGACATTAAATTGGGAGCATCCCCCCATGCCCCAGAGGGAACACGCGCACCTCAGGCACAGTCGAGCTACCAGCCCTGTCGACCATCCGACCATGGATCGCGCGTGTCCACCGAGCTGGTATCCCAATTATCCGTCGACAGGTCGGGCACGAAACATGTACACACGAACGGCGCTCCACTACCATCGCAAATAAAAACGTGGAGGCCATCTGGATTACGAGCTGCATTGGAGCGCACTCTGAGATGTAATACGAGCGTGGAGGGACCAAAAAGTATCCATGCCGCTACTCCCCTGGACCTCTCCCGGGCTGCGTCCTGACCAGATTTTCGAAGCGGCTCCAGCGGTGGCGACGAGGGCCTGCGCGGAGACCCAACAAAGGCGAACACGCGGAAGGGTGGCGGCATGGGTACTTCTCGTTATTCCGAGAGCGAGGAGCTCGCACTCGTGGGCGCCGCGCTCCTTCGCCTGCACGGCTTCCCGCAGGGCCGTAGGCGGCCCGAGGAGGAGGAGGAGGAGGAGGAGGAGGAGGAGGAGGAGGAGGAGGAGGAGGAGAAAGGAGGAGGAGGGGGTGGAGGAGGGGGAGGGGGAGGAGGAGGAGGAGGAGGTGGAGGAGGGGGGGGGGAGGAGGAGGAAGAGGAGGAGGGGGAGGAGGAGGGAGGAGGAGGAGGAGGAGGAGGAGGAGGAGGAGGAGGAGAAGGAGGAGGAGGAGAAGAAGAAAAAGGAGGAGGAGGAGGAGGCGGAGGAGGAGGAACCCTGTTTCGCGCGGCCAGCTACGCGGCGTTCTGCGACGCCCGCGGCGCTTGTAGGTCTGCCCCCATTATCAAAGGGGCCCCCGTCCAGGGTATTTGGCGGCCGCGCTCGGGCGCCGCTGGCAACGCGCTCAGCCTCTGGCCACTTTCTCAACGGGCCCCCCAGGGTGTGCACCTCTGGGCGGCGCCCGCCTCCTCCGCGCCCTCTCCTTCCCCGCGGAGTCGCCGCAGCCGCTTGCTGGGCCCCCCCTTCTCCAGCGCGCGTCCCGCCAGAGGAGCCCAGCGCCGCGCCTCCGCCAGCTCTTCGCGTCGCCGTCGGGCTGCGGGGGGCGGCGGCCGCGACTTCGGGCGGAGCCGCGCGGCCTGCTCTCGGCGCCGTGCCTGGGCGAGGCGCTCCGCTGCCGTCGGCGGTTCCGCCTCCGCCTGCTGCTGCTCCAGCGCCCGCGCTGCTCTCAGGAGGGCTGTCTGCGCGGCCCGCGTCGCGGCCTCCGTGGCCTCCACGTCCGCTTGTGCTTCCTCCAGCGCCCCGCGGGCGTCCGCGGCGCGGCGCTGCTCCTGCGCCAGGCGTTCAGCCCTCGTCAGCTCCTCGGCCTGCTTCGCGTGGGGGTCCTCTTGCGCCGCGGCCAGCTGCGCGCGGGCGCCCGCGGCGCTGCGCCTCGCGTCGGCCAAGCGCTCGGCCCTCGGCCCGCCGCGCATGGGCGCCTCCCCGCCGTCGGCGGTCGGCGGCGCGCGGGCTCGGTGGGCCCGCGCCTTCGCCAGCGGGGCTGCTCGGCGCCGCCGCCCCGCGGCCCGCTGCTCGGCGGCCTGCAGCCTCGCCAGCTGGTCGCGCGTCGGCGCCTCGTCCGCGTTAGGCTTGGGCGCTCGTGCTGCAGCGCGTTCCGCTGTCGGGCCCGCGGCCTGCTGCTCGGCGGCCCGCAGCCTCTCCAGCTTGGCCTTGAAGGGCTGGCTCAGCCGGGGAGGGCGCTCGCCTGGGCCTCCGCCGCGCCCTGCTCCAAGTCCTCGCGGGGTCCAGCAGCGGCGGCCGCGCGCTCTGCCTCCGCCAGGCGCTCGGCCTCGGCCAGGGCCAGGGCCTCGTTCAAGCTCGCGTCGCCCAGTGCTGCCTCTGCCCATCGCTTGGCTACGGCCTCAAGCCTGAGCTCGTCGAGGTATGCGTCTGCGGCCCGCGCCGTCTCCTCGGCCTCCTTGGCCTTGCGCTCGGCCTCCGCCTCCGTGGGCCGCAGCGCATCTGCCAAGGCGGCTCCCAGGCGGGTCGGGGCGCAACCTCGGTGGCCAGCGAGCGCCGCGAAAGCCGCTAGCAGCCGCTCAGCAGCTCGCCCCTCGGCGCGGAGCTGCTGCGCGCGGCGCGCCGCGGCAGGTCGGTTCGGCATGCGCCGCCAGCGCGCCTCCATGCCGGCCGGCTGGGAGGGTTCCGGGACGGCGAGGGGGAAGGGGGAGGGGGAGGGGGCGGCGGCGCCCGGCGGCGCCCGTGACGCTGGCTGGCCCCGAGCGCCGTGTTCGTGCCAGCTGGCGCTAGGAAGAGGAGGAGGAGGAGGAGGAGGAGGAGGAGGAGGAGGAGGAGGAGGAGGAGGACGGCGAGGAGGACGACGACGACGACGACGACGAGGACGGGTCGCCTAAGCCCTTCGGAGAAACCCTCCACCTGCGCCTGGGAACCTCGCCAAACATGCGGGCGATCCCAGGCCCCCCGGTGCGCGCGCGATGTCTGGGCTGCCCGCCCCCTGTCTTGACGCCACCGACGTCTGTCAAGAACCTCGGGGCAGACCCAGCCGCAACGACGAGGGCGTACCTGAAAAGCGTTTCTTTCTTTTCGGCGATGATGGGCGTCGTGGGGGGGGTGAAGGGGGGAGGGCGGTGTGGTTCTGGCACCACAGCCGCGCCCGCGCGCACGACGACGATGAGCTACGAGCTACGAGCTACGAGCGACGACGACGACGACGACGACGACGACGCGAGCAGCATGTAGGTGCCGGTCTGCCCAGAACCTCAGGGCAGACCCATCCAGAACGACGAGGGCGTACCTGGAGTTATGTTGTCCCCATCGTACTTTTTTAGCGTTGCTGTATATATCCATCTCGAAAGCCCAGCGTCCAATGCCAATTCGCAGCACTTTGTAACCACAGTGCGGTGATACCCCTCGCGCTCTCCAATGGAGTGGCGAGGCTCCTACTAGATTGCGCATCCAAAGAAGGCGGAGAGGAGTGGGGAGCAGCAGACGTCACTCATGAGCTGTTGTTCCCGTCGTACTTGAGGACCATATCCCATAACAACAATTCGAGCACCCCGAAAAGTATCGTAGCAATGAATCTGCCCGACACGCCGGCGAATCACCGAACGAATATATCGCCTCCCAGGGCCCGACACGCGAAAACCGTCCAGTCTCGATCGTTTCTTGGCGCTCGAAAGTCTTTCTGGCGATCAAGGCTGAAGCAGGTTGCAACGTCATCCCCAGAGGAAAAGGGCACTGCCCGAGCACAAACTTTCGGAGGTTCGCGCGGAGTTCTTGGATCTGTCTCGGACGTCCATCCCTGGCGCGCGGAGCGCGCCCTGGGGGGCGGCGCCGGAGGCGCCGCTAGGGTAGCCCACCGCAGATCCACGAGATCCGCACGGAGCTCCGAAAGTCGATGCGGATGTCGTGCTCTGCTCCTTGAGTCCCGCACCCTGCAACAAGAACAGAACGAGCAGCGCCAGGGAGGGGGCGCGCGGGGGACTCCCTCCCAGCCTCAGGTCGGGCATGGTCCCCTACAGGCGGATTGTGGACGAAAGATTACAAATACCCAAAGCTTACTCAAAAACCAAATTAATAGAAAAATCGTCCCCAGACTGTTTCTTCACTATTTTTGAATATACCTCATGTAGAAGGACATGCCCCACTTCCTCCCAATCCGCAGGCCCGGTGCGGGGCGCCCCTTTCCGCGCCTGGTGGGGACTCTCCCGGAGCCACTGCCGCAGGGAGTCCAGGTAGACGCGCGCGGGCGAGCCCTGCCCCAGAAGAGCCCCCTGGGAGACCGGGAGCGCGCAAGCATAGACTAACTCCGGCCCCGCTCTGCCTTCTTCGTCCTCCTTTCCCCTCGGCCCCCCCTAATCATCTGGCGTCCTTGCCCAGACTTTGCGTTTGAACCTGGCTTTTGGCCGGGGCGGCGGGGCCGGACAGGTGGCAGTACTGCGTGAGCGATCCATGGATTTGGCGCGCGGTCGCAAAATGCATGGACCGGGGGAAGTGGCCTCCACGAAGTGCGGCCAGAGCCGCCTCGCTCGGCGGCGGAAATCCAGGATTGCCAAAATGGAAGCGGGCCCCGTCGCTGATACACGCCCCCTTGATCCATGTCTGCGATCGCCTGATGGGAGAAGCGGGAAGAGCAAGCTTGATCGTTAGCTATGCAAGACAGCAGCGGCGGAGCATAGAGATAGACCACAGGATGCATTCCGCAAGCATCGCATGACCCCCACGAGGAAGAGGCACAGGAAGACCCAGAGACTCCCCCGGAACATGCGCACGACAAACAGTGCTGTGTGCGGGCACCTCCACATTCGCATCAGCGCTGATCACCACATTGGCAATACGGGGAAAAAGTGCGGACGAAATTTCGAGATTCGAGATGTTCGGAAAATGTCGTCTGTACTCGGCAACTTCCGGGTGGCCTTCCAACGCCTGGGCGGTGCGCCTCGCCGAGAGCGTTCAAGGGAGTCTCGCATCGTCCCGAACGGCCGCTGAAGGCCCAAGCCATGAGCCTAGAGCCACCATGCGTCGAATAGGTCAGGGGCAACCCCAGAGGAGGTCCGGCGATAGGGTTAGGTCGGGCCTGCCCCCCTAGAGGGGGATTTTGGGCAACAAATGAAAGAGTACTCAAAACATACTCCCCAAATGCTCAAAAATAGTAAAACAATAATCCCCAGACTATTGTTTGACTATTTTTGAATATTCCTCCTGTAGAAGGACAAGCCCGACTTAATGATAGGGGGCTCCATTCATCCGTTGCCAAAAATTGTGGGTAACGTTCTGGACGAACTGGTCGCGCGTGCACGGCCTCGAAACCCTCGCCTGCACCCCGACGTGCGGTCTATACCCCGACGTGACGTCTTTTCGCTGCCGTCAACCGGCTGCCCCTTCCGGTCGCGACCGACATCTGGTGCGACCGCAATCCGCTACTTAAAGTCTCAAGGTCGCGGATGAACTTTCTGCTGCATCTTCCAGGGACCTTGTCTGTCCCGTCGCGCCCTTGTCCTTGCGAATCCGTGTCGCATCCATGTCGGGCCCGTCGAATCCGCGTCGGACCTGTGTCGAATCAACGCCACCTCCGCGTCGAGTCCGCATCGAGCCCGCGTCGGGCGCAGAAAGAGGCACCAATCCTGGGGACAGACGGGGCCCCCCGAATACGCAACGCCATGGTCTGGGGGCTTGAGGATCCGGGGAAGGAGGTGGGGCGCGGGGGGAGCGGAGAGTGCAAGGGTCGGGCGGGGGGCCAGGAAGAGGGCGGGGGGCGGGAAGGGCGGGCGGGGTGCCAGGCAGGAGAGGACCGCGCGCGAGGTCGGGCAAGCGGGGCCGCGCAAGAATCACAAGTTCCCAGAATTGCCGAATCTCTGGGGGCGCGCCGCGTGGCCCCTGGGGCCCGTAGGTCCCCAAGACGGGCCCAGAGGGCCCAGGGAGGTCCAAGACGGGTCCGAGAGGGTCCGAATCCGAACAATCCGTCCAAGACGCCCAAGATGGCGTCCAGTCGGCCGAGAACGCGCCCCAGACGCCCGAAGAGGCCTCCGAAAGCACCCCGCCCAGGGATCGGAGAGGCGAACAGCATTGATTTTCCTTGGGTTGCTAAATTTGTTGTTTGGTTTTCCACTTGTCCAGCTTCCGACGCTCCAAGACGTCCCAAGAGGCCCCCAATACCGCCCCAAAACGGCCCCGCAGGCCCCCAAGAGAGTCCCAAGACGGCCGAAGAGGAACCCACGACGACCCGACCCAACCCAAGAGGGGCCCGAGGCGGCCCAAGAAGGCCCCAAAATGGCCCCCAAAAGGGCCTGGGAATCACGAGCCGACAATCCGAGCCTTCCGCCCCAAAGAGGCACCCACGAGGCCCCAAGAGCCCCAAATATTCCCAACAGAGGCCCCAAGAGGCTCCCAAAAAGCCCAACAGAGGCCACACAACAGACAACAGCCCCCCTTAGGCATCACAACTGCTTCCAGGATGTCCCCGAGAGACCTCCCACGGGATCCCAACGAACATCCGAGAGGTCTCTCACCCACAACGCAGGCAAGGTGGCGGAGTGGGCCGAATGCGATTAGATCGCGCTTTCAAGCCTCATATGGCACAAACATGTAAACAAAACGATCGCCTGTGGAGCGATATCCGCAAGTCCGAAAATGTACGAACAAAAACATGTACTCCACACGAGGCGAATATTTGTCTAACGCTCCATAGAAATGGAACGCATCACGCTGCCCTTACCTCCGTCGCGTCTCTCAGGAGCCCACGAACGTGGCGACTACTGCGCATATCGCAGCGCCCGAGGGAGCCGCGAGGTCTCAAATTGATCTGCGCTGCCCTCACCTCCGCTGGACCTCCCGGGAGCCAACGAAGATGGCGACAACTGCGCATATCGCAGCGCCCAAGGGAGCCGCGGGATCTCAAATGGATCTGCGCTGCTCTCACCTCCGCCGTGGCACCTGGGAGCCTACGAACGTTGCGACAATTATAACAGTTCGCAGCCCCCGAGGGAGCCGCGGGGTCTCAAATGGATCGGCGCTGCCCTCACCTCCGCCGTGTATCCCAGGAGCCCATGAAAATGTCTACACTTTGCAGTTCGAAGCCTCCATCCAGGCGAGCCGCGAGTTATTCCCCAATCAATTCTTGCACTGAAGGGGTCCTAGCGACATTGAAAAATTTGGCGAACATGTCCCGCCGATGATGGTGGCTGGCTGGGCCCCGGGTTTCCCAGGTTCCTGGTCATTGGTTCCGGGCCGATTTCGGCGGGTCCCGGGTTCCCGGGTTCCTGGTCGATCTCCTTATCGATCTCTTTATCGATCCCATTTCAAACCATCCACTGATTGGGTATTTTCCCTGGTGTAACTCTTTGATCTGCGTGGCCCTCGACTCCGCTGGACCTCCCAGGAGCCCACGAAAGTGGCGACGATTGCGCAGTTCACAACCACCCAGGGAGCAGCGAGGTTCCCGGTGGCTCCGCGCGGCACCCAACTCCGCTGGACCTCCCAGGAGCCCACGAAAGTGGCGACAGATGTGCAGTTCGCAGCCACCCAAGGGGAAGCGAGGCCAGAATTGATCTGCGTGCCCCTCCCCGGAGTTTGACCCCGCTGGACCTCCCATGAGCCCACGCAATTTGCGTCGGTTGCGCAGTTCGCAGCCTCTCAGGGAGCAACGAGGTCCCCGCTGGGTCCGCG